GGGAGCTTGATGGTCGCCCAGGGAGGGTCAGGAGGGAAGAGGAAGGGAGGGAAGAGAGGAGAGGGGAAGAAAGGAAAGGAAGAGGGAAGGGGAGCGAAAATGAGGGAAGGAAAGGGAAAGGGAGGGAAGGGGGTGGTGAGGAAAGGGAGGGGTGAAAAGAAGGGAAGGAGGAAGGGAAAGAGAATGAAAAGGAGGGGGGGAGGGGAAGAGGAAAAAAGAAGAAAAAAAGGAGACAAGGAGAGGGGAAAGCGAAAATAAGTGGAAGAAGGAGAGTGAAGGGAAATGAAGAGAAGAGAGAAAAGAAATGAAATGAAATGAAAAAGAAAGGAAAAGGAATAGCGGAGCGGGTGGGAGAGAGGGGAGGGAGAGGGGAGGGGAGGGGGAGGGAAGAGGGGAGGGGGAGATTTAAGTGCGATGAATGAATGGTAGTATATATAGCTCTTTTAATATGCGATCTTTCAGGGGCTTCTCTTTCACCCCTTTCGTCAGGGTTGGGGGGTGAGAGGGTGGGGGGTGGGGAGGTATGATAGGGGGAAGAGGCTGGGGGGGTGAGAGGAGAAGGAAGGGAGCTTGATTATAATCCGGTTGTGGATTCGTCTTCTCTCTCCGTTCTATTCGCCCTTTTTCGTCTTCTCTCTTCGGTTTCTCTTGTTTTGCCTCTTCCTTATTTTATAGTTATATTTTCCCTCTTTTTTTGTTTTTTTTTTCTGTGAACTTTTCATTTTCATGGAGGCTGTTTTGTACTTTTCATTTTTCATTTCTCGTTCCTCTGCGCTCCAGCCCGATCTCCCATCGTTTCCTCTCTTCTCCTTCCTCTTTTCTCGCCTCTTCCCTTTTCTTTCCTTTTCCATTCTTTGCCCTTTTCTCTCTCTCCCCTCTCCTCTCTCTTTCCCTCTTCTCTTCTTCTCTCATTCTCCCCTCTTTCTTCTTCTCTCTTCTCTCATTTCCCCTCCTCTCCTCGCCTCTCCGGTTATCTCCCCCCCCCTAGTCCCTCGGCTCCCCCTGGGCTGCCGCTCGCTACAGTGCCACCTAAGACCATTGGAAGCGGCGCACGGGCGGGGAAGAAGGGGCGGTTGATTGTAAGGGGGTGGGGTGGGGTGGGGTGGGGTGGGGAAGGTTGGGGAAGGGTGCCGAGTGCGAGGCATATCCTGTGTGCAGGCTTTATCACCCTCCTCCTCATCATCATCATAATCATAAGGTGTGCATGCAAGACCACGCCAGCATGAGTGCAAGCATCTAGGCTGGCGGTTCCCCCTTTCCCCCCTTTCTTCACTTCCCATCCTCGTTTCCTTCTTTTCTTTCTTCCTTCCTTCCTCCCTTCTTTCCTTCATTTCTTCCCTCCCTCCCTTGCTTTTCATTTTCCCTTCTTTTCTTCCTC